TTTGCGCTCAAGACTACGAGTTTCTTTCTTGAGAGAATGGGTATTACTGTTGTACCATGGCACAGTATGATATTACTGCGATATTACTGTTACTTATGATTAGCTTGTAGCAAGTTTGAAAGCAAGTTAGCTTCACAACACTGTATACTGATTATAAATTATATTTTTAAACTGATTATAAGTTATATAGTAATATTTAAAAAAAAATATTGTCCCCTTAAATACCTTCACAGTTTAGCTATTTTTTTGTTAGCAGCTTGTATAGCTACAAGCTAGTCTGGCTTTTAATTTATGATTAGCTTGTAGCTAGTTTGATAGTAGCTTCACAACTCTATATATAAACTAGGGCTGCACGATAAATCGCATGCGATATTTAACGCGCATCTTGTCAGTAAAGCCATTCTGTAATACCGGCTTTACTGACAAGATGCGCGTTAAATATCGCATGCGATTTATCGTGCAGCCCTAATATAAACTGAACATAGTTATACAGTATTTTTAAAACATATTGCCCCCTTAAAAAGCTCAGTTTAGCTAATTTTATCAACTTTTATAGCTACAAGTTAGTATAGCTTTTAATTTACCTTGAAAGTAAGATTAGCTTGTAGCTAGTTTGAAAGTAGCTTCACAACACTGCATATAAACTGATTATAAGTAAAAAAAGATATGGTCTCCTTAAATACCTTCGCCGTTTAGCTACTCTTTGTTAGCAGCTTGTAGTATGGCTACAAGCAAGTGTAGCTTTCATTTAGCTTAGCCTGACCGTCTCATTCATATTTGTGACCCTGGACACAAAACCAGTCATAAGGGTAAATTTTTTGAAATTGAGATTTACACATCATCTGAAAGCTGAATAAATAAGCTTTCCATTGATGTATGGTTTGTGAGGATAGGACAATATTTGGCCGAGATACAACTATTTGAAGAAATCTAAATATTGAGAAAATCGCCTTTAAAGTTGTCCAAATAAAGTCCTTAGCTATACATATTACTAATGAAATACATTTTTGATATATTTACGGTAGGAAATTTACAAAATATCTTCATGGAACATGATCTTTACTTAATATCCTAATGATTTTTGGCATAAAAGAAAAATCGATAATTTTGACCCATACAATGTATTTTTGGCTATTGCTTCAAATATACCCCAGCGACTTAAGACTGGTTTTGTGATCCAGGGTCACATTTAAGTCAGTTAGCAAATGTTCTTATCCAGAACGACTTACAGAAGTCTTTAGATCTGCATATTCAGCTAAATACAACCCTCTGATCGCACACAGTCTTTCCTCTTAAGTCAAGCTAAATGTTATCTCTCATCGCTAGCAGCTACACCATTGATTCAGCTGTAACGGTTGTAAACAGTGCTTACGGAGGTCAGGCAGAGTTGATCGCTGCTTTCCACCATTCAAACTCTCTTTGTTTCTTCATTCTCAGGCCTTTTCCCGCCCAGCAGTGGTCGTGCGTACATTAATGGTTACGACATATGTCAGGATATGGCTCTGATCCGCCGCAGCCTGGGCCTGTGTCCGCAGCATGACGTGCTCTTCGACAACCTCAACGTCCGAGAGCACCTGCTCTTCTACACACAGGTAGACGCAGATCGAGGAAGTCTATAAAATACCCAGCTCTGTGATTGTAAATGGTATCCGTTTTTTTCTGATTAAATGTCCTACATGTGCTTTTTTTGAAAATGTATTGTAATTGTAATAGAGCACAACAGTCCCCGCCCACATTATTCACGACTGTGGTTCTGAAAGTATTTTTCCATGCATTTTTTACCATAGTAATTTCTTAAAAAAAAAAAAAAAAAAAAACCTTCATTAACACTAAAGAGTTAAAAGTCGTCAACCAAACCAACCAGCTACCAGTGTTATTTTAGTATCACTGAGATACTTTTACACTATTATACTATTTTTTCTGTCTATACGTCTACTTCGTTTATATAAATTTTTATTTCAGTTTTAGTTTGTTATTTTAGTACATTAAGTTAAGCTAAATGAAAATGAGAAATGTTGATTTGGCAACTCGTGAAAGAAAATAAATGTAAGTTTTTTTTAATATAATTTTATTTGATTTCAAATAAAGTTTTTTATGGTTTTGTTAAAGTTTAATTTTTGTAAACTTTCTTGTGTTTTGTTATTTTTATTAGTTTTTTCTATGTATGTCTATATGGTTTTTATTCATGTCAGTTTTAATTTGTTAAGTTATTTTAGTATGTCAAGTTAAACTAAAATAAGAAATGCTGCCTTGTAAAGTAGTTGAAAAAATAAGTTTACATATTTTTTTTTTAATATAGACAATTTATTTTATTTCAGTCAAAGTTTATTGTATTTGAAGTAACAAAAGATTTTTTTAATGGTTTAGTTTAAGTTAACTATGGGCTATGAGGTAAAGCAAAATGTTACAAACTTTGATTTGAAGCAAAAAGCTATTTGAAAATTAGGCAAAAAGACAAAAGTACTTAGCGGCTTTAATGAGGGAAAGAACTACAATCCCATGAAGCACTGCAAATGACATAGTCAAATCTAATATATATATATATATATATATTGTTAGATCATGCTTCCACGTCAGAAATATCAGATCCAGCCCTGGACTCCAGATCCTGTCAGAAAAGATCTGTTTGTCTGGTAACAGAACAACTAGTCAGCAAAATTATCTAATACCCAAAACCTGTTAACGGCAAGTCCTGTCTGGTCCCCAAAACCCTATTAACAGTCAAACACATTATCCTGAATGTGTGGAAACAACGTGGATGTACTGAAAAGTGTCTGTGCATAAATACAATGTATGATCTGTGCGTCAAGAGCGCACATACACGGTTTGTTTGTGCATCAATATATCAGACTCACGCGTGCTTTTACTGTACGACTCCTGTCACTGAAATCGTCTTTACCTTGATTGCAATCCTCATCCATCAAAATCTTTATCCAGCTGAGCAATGTAGTTTGCTTATCATGCGGTGTGATGTTTAAACATTCTGTTCAGTCTGCATTTCACACAGCGCGACGTGTGAGTGAGCTCTCACACTCTTCAGAAACAATCACAGAATATGACAGAGCTCGGCAGAGTTTTAAAGTGACACACACTGGAATGAATAACTCACTGAAAATGCTGCCGGAGTCTCTATTCTCTCTGCCATCTAGGGCTGCCCTCGACTAAAGATTTGTCTGGTCGACTAGTACTCGTTCATTTTAAGCATTAGTCGACTAATCGCATGTTTATTAATAAACCATTTAAATTATGCTAATGAGCCTTTAATTGCCTACATAGCCTAATAAGCGCTCAAGCGCACACATAAAGCTTGCCATAGCGCACCGGCAGAAGTAATGATTATGAATGTGACAGGGAAAAAAGTCAGATTAAACTGCATTAACATTTTAATAATCTATTGATAAACTTGTGATTTCGGTTTAAGAGATTAATTCGGCGACACTGACTCGTCATCTCCACAGTAGTGGATGTGCCTGCATGCAAGTTTCATACGATTACATAATCTGAGAATATTATTTTTTTTCACATTTGATTTGTTTAATTTGAAAGTAGACATTTCACTCTCTATAGATATATTTTTCATGTCTGTAAGGCAAGTATACACTGAGTTTTTTGGTGTGATTTGCTTGTTGCGGTTCTCTAATTGGTGGAGATTTCTCTGCAGAATCATGGGTAATGTCGTTTATCACCAGGAATTTCAATGTTAAACACGATTTGAAAAAAAAGGTGAAATGTGGCCCAATGGCTTCAACAACAGCATATACCTTCGATGAGCAGCCTCGCAGCTCACAGAATGTCTGTCTTTAAAGGTTTACAAGTTATCGTTAGAAATCTGTTGCCCTGTGGAGAAAATTAATGGCATTTTTGCTTATGAAACCGACTGTTGCACTGTATTCAGCTTTGGAATGGATCTTTACAAATCTTGTTTCTTCTCTTCAGCTGAAGGGTTATCCTTGCGAAAAGATCCCTGATGAGGTGGACCGCATCCTTCGGATCCTGAATTTGGAGGATAAGCACCATGCACGATCCAAAACCCTCTCTGGTGGGATGAAAAGAAAGCTTTCCATCGGCATTGCTTTAATTGGAAACTCAAAGGTCAGGCAACACTTTGTATTTCACGGTACAGCGTACCGTATGTTTAGCAGATGTTTTTATGTTGAATTCTATTTTCATTTTGGTCCAGGTTAGTTTGTGCTAGTTAGCATGGCTATACTGGTTGTATCAGTGAGATAAAGAATTGTAAACTGGTTTTCCATAAAGGTTTCCCATTAGCGTTAGCCACTCTAGTGCTAACACAGCCCATGTGGCTTTGTTTATTTCCCTGTAGGTGGTGATGTTGGATGAGCCCACCTCAGGAATGGACCCCTCAGCCCGCCGGGCCATCTGGGACCTGCTGCAGGGCGAGAAGCGCGGCCGCACCATCCTGCTGACCACGCACTTCATGGACGAGGCCGACCTGCTGGGAGATCGGATCGCCATCATGGCTAGCGGAGAGCTACAATGCTGCGGCTCGCCGCTCTTCCTCAAGAATAAATACGGTGAGACCGCCTCAAGATCATGAGAGGAGCAGAAAGATTATATTTTAAAGTGAATGATGTGGATGAGCGCAAGTTTTAGCCGACTTGTTTCATATTATTTATTCATGTTTTGAATTGTTTTTATTTTTATATTAGAACTGTAATATTTTATATTCAAATTTTATATATTTTTTGTACTTTTGTTAATTGATTTTGTCATTTTTATTAGTTTTTTTTATGTTTCTCTGTAGCTTAAATGTATTTTTATTTCCATTTTATTATTAGTAATTTCAGCACCTCAACTTATTTCAGTTGCCAAGGCAATATTTCTATTATTTTATTTGTTTATTTTTTACTTTAAGCTTTAGTTTTTCATCTCAGTATTTATTGATTATATTTATTATTAATTTAGTTTATTTCTGATATATTTCATTTAACATAATTCAGTTTTATATACATACATTTTATGCACACACACACACACACACACACATGCATATACATAAAATGTATATTATATTATATATAAATTTTGTCTTCTATTATATTATAATTTTTTTTTTTTTTTTTTGCAGAAAGTAGTAAAGAGTGCTAAAAGTAGTGTTTTGCTCCAGTAAGGACATATCTCACTAAAAAAATATTTATCTAATTTAATCTTGTATTTCTACAGGTGCTGGTTACCACATGGTTATAGTAAAAGATGCGTTTTGTAATGTGTCAGAGATCACCCGTCTAGTGCACATGTATGTTCCCGATGCCACTCTAGAGAGCAGTGCAGGCGCTGAACTCTCGTACATACTGCCCAAAGAGAGCACCAGCCGGTAAGACAACACTAACTATACATGTCTACTGAATACTGCATAGTATTTTTAAAATAGTGAAACCATATGAGTTATGCGATGCATTTCAGACAGTTGTAAGCAACATTATCACTTTACCTGATTATGTTGCATGTTTAATGAGTGGCATATTGTTATTATTTCAGACATAAAGAGACATTTTCCATTTTTAATCCAGTTTTGTGTCTGATTGAATAATGAGTCAAATCAGGTACACTGCATTGTGGGATATGATATATTTCAAGCAATGTACTCTGGTTGCATGCAACACATTTTGGCAAAAGTAGTTATTCAGTGCCTGTAGGTGTTTGTATACTGTGAACAGTGCCGCCCGCATACTACAAAAACATCTGATTTGAAGAGGTTACATATTAGACGTGGTTAACAGGAATGCAAACATCAAGGTATCATCGTCATTGCCTTTAATCAATATCCTTGATTGAACAAACTCTTACAAGAGACAATGAATTAGGAAAAAATGGTTTGATGTATCCAGAGTAATGAAACGCATGAGACTTTAGTCTTGGTTCTTGTTAGCTGGCGTAGCAACAGATGGACTAAATTTACCCATTGATCTGTTTTTTAGTGAAGGTCTCGAAACAACAGTCTGCTCTGTTCATCAGACACGTGTGTTTCTCATCTCCAACTCTCTAAACCAGTGTTTCCCAACCGGGGTGCCGTCGGTCGAGAGCAGGGGTGCCGTGTAAAAAAATCATTTTTTTATATTTTTAAATTGCTAAAATGTTA